ATATACCCCTAAAAAATAAAAACAGAAAAAAAACCCCCACTGATAATTGAATATACTACTAAATGGTATATGCACCTTTCATGAAGACAAATATTTTAAAGTCCGAAAAAGACTCCTGGAAGTAGATTTTGGTGATGTCTAAGAATGTTCACTTTCAATATTTCACTTAAAGTACAACAGAGAAAATGCACATAAACTACAGAGTTACACTTCAGTGTCTCTCAAAAATCATATAAATATACTGACAAACTTTTTCCTAATTTCCTGTTCTTTTTTGAGATAGGATCTTGCTAGGTTGCCCAGGCTGTCCTTGAACTCAAAAATCCTCTTGCCTCAGCCTCCCAAATAGCTGGATTATAGGCATGTTCCCTTATGACTGTCTTAACGTCCTTTTCCATCATTGCAAAATAACCCAATATCCTCTAAGAGACTTTTTCTTTTGGGTCCGGTGGTGGGGCCTGAACTTGGCCTGGGCGCTGTCCCTCAGCTCAAGGCTATCGCTATACCTCTTGAGCCACAGCGCCACTTCTGGCTTTTTTCTTTTTGCTTATGTGGTGCTGAGGAATCGAACCCAGGGCCTCAGGCATGCAAGGCAAGTGCTTTACCACTGAGCCACCTTCCCAGGCCTCCTCTAAGAGACTTTTACAATCATAATTATCAAACTTCATCATGTACCATGACCTCAACATATATGGAACGATGTTGGTGAATAAAACTTATTTAAAATACTGGACAAAATTGCTGAATGTCCCATATCCAAGAGGGTAGGTAGAACAATAGAATACCTGTAATCATAATTACTACATTGAGGACTTGAGTTCAAGCCCTAGGACTGGAAAAACAATTTCCATATTTATGAAATATTTTTGCCTAATATTTTGCAAGCACTATTCTAAAAAGAGTTAGATGAGAAAAGAGCAAGCACTTAAGTGCTTACTATGTGCGAGGCCCTGGCCTGAGTTTCACACATATAAACCAACTTATTCCTCAAACACAATACATCTATAACACAGACACAAGGGGGGGGGAGTTGTTTGTTGACACAGATACTATTAATTTTCTCATCTTATATGTGAGAAAAAGGGAATAGGGAAATAGGGAGTAAGGAAGCAAATTCATCCAGATTGTAATGAGTAGATAGTATTCCCTAAATTCTGGCTTATGGAGTTTTTAACCTAAAATGCTTCCATTGTTATTCTTTGCCTCCATGACAAAGGGTTTGTGAACAAATAAAACTGGATTGAGTATGGCTCGAACAAGAGGGTATTTAACTTCAGGTGTTTAAGGAATGTTGAAAGAAAATTTTAACTAAGGTCTATCTTCATATTCATATTTTGTGAAGATACTCAAAATATGTAAGAGTTGTGTTATGCAAGACTTAATTCTGTTTTAATAACTGGGTAAAATTCCTTCACTTTTTCATTCTCTATTTATATATCGGTAGATAGTTAGTATCCTTTATTTGGAAAACCACTCGCCTATTCCAGGTAGGCAAAGTGGGGCTAAAGATCACAGACCTTTCTCTCAGCTTAGGGGGAAGTCTATTACCAAAGCAATTGGATCTTACTCCCTTGGTCACACACAGCAGCTTAAGAATACAAAAATAGGATCCACAGTCTTCTTTCAGACTGATGGAATTTTTTTCTTGTTAATGAGATTAGAAATTCTGCTAACAGCCACCTGTTTCAGGCAGGGTATGAACTGTTCACCCTAAAGGCTTGGGTGCAAAACAGTTCCCAGCTATTTGGTCCAATTACTGAGAGGTGTTTCAATTATGAGGCTTTTACATAATAAACAATGGAGGAATCCTAAGATGGGTTCCTAATATGATAGTATTACAGGGAAGAGGTGGAAAGTAGGAGGTGAGGCTTAGCTGGAGAAAGTAGGTCACCAGGATGTGTCCCTACCTTACCCCTTCTTCCTGTCTTTTTGCTTCCTGGCCCCCAGGAGGGGAGCCTCTGCCACATTCTCTTCCCACAGTGACACTGCCTGCTGCCTGAGGTCTAAAGTTTGGATCCGGTTGATTCTGGACTGACACTACTGAAACTATGAGCCAAAATTAATCATTCCTCCCTTAAGTTGCTTTCCTCGGCTCTGACTCTTGTCAGAGTGAAGAAACTGACCAGTATATTTTTTGTCCTTAAGGGAAAATAAAGTAACTACAATGTTGAGAGACGGAGAAATTCAGAGTGAACACAATCTAGCTATGCATGGGTTCTGGTATAAATGAGCATACACTTATGCTAAGTGAGTTTCCATGACTTTAGATAAATTTCGACTTTTTTTTTTTTGGCAGTATTGAGGTTTGGCTCATTTTACAGTCCTACTTTTCAGATAGGTCTTGTGTTTTTTTTTACCTGTATTGGAAAACTGTGATGCTCTTGGTTTCCACCTCTTGAGCAGCCAAGAGGCAAGAGCCACTATGTCCAACTTTCAAGGTATATTTACATAAGTATTAGATGAATTTGAATGTAAAACAATGGTTATGTCAAATATGAATATAACTCTGCTAGTCTCTTCTTCCTTTATGAACAAAGAATTGTTTTTTGTTCGAGATGGTTTAACTACCTAGGTTTTCAAAACTGTCATCTCCAAATTCATAGTGACTACAGAGCATTATTTTAGTATTTCTACTTTAAAAAGTCGTATCACACAACCACACTATAACTATAAACACCAAATGTTTTATTTTAAAGGATTGGAAAAGCATTAGAAGACAAATGTCTGTTATATAGCCAGGAATGTTAAATATATGAAAACTGTAAAACTTCTAAATGTGGTAGGCACTTTCACAGAGCTAAATATTTAAATTGTCCTACTTTCTCCTCTAATGACAACAGCAATGATACGATGAGAAATGCCAAGAAGGTCCAACTAATGATTATTCATTTTGGGGTTCAACTTAATTGCACAAGTTAAAGTTCTGTCCAAGATGTTCCTGACACATGAAGCTTCCAGTTGAATTTCAGAAATGTTAACAAAAATATCTTCCTTTTTTGCCTGTGACTGTTTGAGTATTGTTGTATTGTTGACTTATATCCACTACAGATACTGGTTCTAGGCCAGCCCAAGGGTCTTCAAGCATTGAAGGCTTGAAATAACTTTCCAACTCATTAGACATCCTTTTTTCTCTACCACGCCCTGATCCAAATGGTGTAGATGTCCTTGGAGAACCCTTCAGGAAAAAAATCATCAGTTAAAAAAAATTACTAGAGATAATTGGTATGTATCCTTCAGTTAAAGGGTAGTAGGAAATCACATTGCTTTTTAACAGTTTTTATGTGAAATCAATTATGTTGCACTACAAAGTTTATGCATCCTTTAATGTTTTTAGTTGTTTTTGTTAAAAGTGCTTAAACTAGTTTTGCATACTTAATAACTCTTGCACATTGTCACCTCAAATACTTTTTAGCTTTAAATGTACTAACCCTGCACATACTCAATAGCAAGTGATAACAGACTCAAGTCCAATTAGTGACACAATTTTTCCCAGAAACACACCTTCATTAAGAAATTAAGGCTTATTTTTAAAGATTTTCTTTTTTTAAGGTTGCTAGAACGTGAAAATTTCCTATATTCAGGCTTTAGGAGGTGTAGCAGGTTTAGCAAAGATTCTGAAAAACACCTCGTGAATCCAAGTTGTTGGCCCAAGAAATCTTCGCCACACCAGAGATACAGCCTATTTTTCATTGGTTCTCACTGAAGAACAAGAAATATCTGCTACCACCAACTTTGCCCTCGAGAGAACTTGGGAGCAGAAGAAGCAAGGTAGCTCGAAGAAAGGATAAATTAAAAAAAAAAAAAGCAAGGAGGGGGGAGGTAACAGTTACAGTAAAATGAGACCAGCCTATAACCACAGACGCTATATATCGGGGAGTCATTCGCGTTTCTCCCCTGAGAGCCGGGGTGGGGGGGGGGGAGGTTGCGAGACGGAGAGGAAATGGAGGCCTAAGGAAATCTGTGCGTAAGGGCTCTGTCACTTACGGTACTTAGACACAGATGCTCGAAGCCTCTGAGTTCACTCGTCTATGAAATAGGGCTACCATTCGTTATTATACACCAAAGAATCACGTCAAGGAATCATAACAGCCTGCCTGCCACGGCGGGAAGAGTTCGGCAAACGCCGCCTGGTAGGTTTACCTGGGGGTAGGCCGGCGGTTGCCCCGGGGAATAGCCGAATTGCTGCTGGGACCCCGCGGGGGACCTGGAGTAGGAGCCGGGGTAGCCGCCCGGGGACGGGGACCCGAACCGGCCCCCCGAGAAGCCGCCGCCGTGTCGTGGAGAGTGGTTGCTCCCGTAGGGCCGAGCCCGGGGCCCGAACGGTGGCGTGCGGTGCGGGCTCCCGAACCCGTCCCGAGGGGAGGGCGGCCGCGGCCCTCCTCCGCCTGGGGCACCCCGGAAGCTGCTCCCGTTACCCCAACTTCCTACACCCGGGCTGGGGTAAGGAGGGGTCGGGGGTCGGAAATTCGGTCGCTGCATGTCAGGTACAAGAGGCGAAAGCCTCACAGCCGCGCTGTCCCGCCGGAACTGCACCGAACGAAGCGCCTCGAGACAGCCGGAAGTCCGGGCCTAAAACGGTCCTACGTCCGCTCGTCCGGACCGCACTTGGATCCCCACCAGCCAAAGGTTCCGCCGAGCGTGATTGGATTTAGTGAAAGAGGAAGGAAAAGGGAAAACCGAGGCCAGATCGTTCCTAGCATGGATTTCCCAAATCCGGCACTGTTTGGTAGGATCCGCATATTTAAAGGCGCCAATTAGCGGAAGGCGCGAAGTGATTCCCGCCCGACCAGACAGAGGCGTGTCCTGAGCGGGGCGGGGGCCCGCAGCGGGGGCGTGTCCAGGGAGGGCGGGGCTTTTTCCGGGGGCGGGCCCATTGGGGCGGGGCCATCTCGGGGGCGGGGCCATCTCGGGGGCGGGGCCATCTCGGGGGCGGGGCCATCTCGGGGGCGGGGCCATCTCGGGGGCGGGGCCCGGCTGTCTGTGGTCTCCCCTGCTGGCGGTGAGCGGCGCCGCCGAGCGGGTTTCCTTTTCCCTCAACCCTGCGGCCGCCGAGGTGTGAGGCGCGCGATGCTGGCGACGCTGGCGAGGGCAGCGGCCCTGTGGAGAACTAGCTTCCTCTCCGGCTGGGGCGGCGGGAGGGGGCTGTGGACAGGCCGCCCGCAGTCAGGTACCCGCAGACCCCCGGCTAGGGGCGGGCGGTGGGGATCCCGCCGGCGGTGCTCCGCTTCCCCCGGTGTCCGGTCCTCCCGTCCCGCTCTCTCCCCTCTGAGCCGCCAGGCCGGGGTCCCAGGGGCTCGCGGCTCGGGTTAGGTCCCGAACTTTAAAAGACGACTTTCCAGACTTGGCCCCCACACACCCGGGTGGTACTAGTCAGGCCTTTCCCAGCCGCAGCCCGCTGCCTGGGTAACTGGGGGTAGGCCGTCCCAACAGAGGCCGCACTTTGCCCCTCCGCTTCAGTGGAAGTAGGCCAGGAAGCCGAGTGACAGGTTTTCAGAAAGGGCAAAATGTGGCTCTTAAAATCCTGGTTGTAGCCGGGCGCCGGGGGCTCACGCCTGTCATCCTAGCTACTCAGGAGGCTGAGATATGAGGATCGCGGTTCAAAGCCAGCCTGGGCAGGAAAGTCTGTGAGACTCTTATCTCCAATAAACCACCAGAAAACCGGAAGTGGCGCTGTGGCTCTAGTGGTAGAGCGTTTGCCTTGAGCTGAAGAGCTGAGGGACAGCGCCCAGGCCCAGAGTTCAAGCCCCACCACCGACCAAAAAAAAAAAAAATCCTGGTTGTTTCCCTACCGTGTAGTGATAAAGGAAAAGTGTATTAAAATGCAAGATTGCCACCGAATCCACAATAAAACACATCCTGGTATAGAGTACTTGTCCTTGAATTTCAGGTAGAGGATGAAATTTAAGTTTACTAGATCATTATAGAACTTTTTTTTTTGGTTTTGTTTTGTTTTTGGACGGTCATGGGGCTTGAACTCTGGGCCTGGGCATTGTCCCTCAGCTCTTCAACTCAGGGCTAGTGCTCTACCACTGGAGCTACAGCACGACTTCTGGTTTTCTGGTGGTTAATTGGAGATAAGAGTCTCACGGGACTTTCCTGCCGGACTGGCTTTGAACCTCGACCCTCAGATCTCAGCCTTCTGAGTAGCTAGAATTACAGGCGTGAGCCACCGATGCCCAGCTAGAACTTGTTTTTTGAAAAATGTTATTAAGTAATGTTACAATTTCATGTCAGCTTATGAGGACAATGTATCTTGGTCAATGCCACTCCTTATGTCATTCTCTATTTCTCCCTCCCATCTCTACCTTCAAGGTACATAGTCCATATTTTACATAATGTATGTTGCATATAACAACTACATTTGCTTACCTTTCTTCCTTCCTCCATTCCTTTTCCTCCTCCCACTGCTCCAACCCTCCTCCTCCCCCAACATGTTGCCACTTTATGGTAGTCATTTTGTTAAAAAGTAGGTTTTTGTTGTTTTTGTTTTGTCGGTTGTGGGGCTTAAGCTCTGGGCTTGGGATCTGTCCCTCAGCTCTTCAGCTCAAGGCTAGTGCTCTACCACTTGAGTCACAGCACCACTTCAAGTTTTCTGGTGGTTTACTGGCAATGAGAGCCTCACGGACTTTCCTGCCTGGGCTGGCTTTGAACGGTGATCCTTAGATCTCAGTCTCCTGTGTAGCTAGGATTACAGATGTGAGCCACTGGCGCCTGACTAGTAAAACTTTTTACTCCTTAAAAATTTGGAAATGGGAATATACTAATGAATCCGGAAACCAACTTGGGGGATACAGAATCATAAAGAACTTCATTAAGTCAGCCCAATGGGCAGCTTGGATCTGTGTTTTTCAGTCAGCCGGTGCATCTCGTGGCACCTCTTCTATGTATTCCGCCTTTCTGACATTTTGTGGGACTTGCCTACATGAAGAGTGTGCAGTCTCCTCAGCTTGATCTCTGCACCCCCCTTGATGTTGCTAGTTTATTCTACAGAAACTTGGTTCACCTCATTTGTTTTGTTTTTGAGACAAAGCCACTTTATGTAGCCCAGGCTAGAAGACATGTCTTTTCTTCAGAAGACCTAATTCGTAGAGTTCAATCAAGACAGGGTAATGCATTGCCATGGATACTTAATGATATGTTTAAGACCTACAAGACTCCTGATTTCTCATTTTCTTACACAGTGCTCTCCTAGAATTTACTTTTCTGAACACATTGTGCTTTGTTTCATCCCTAACAGTTGGACAGTCATAAAATTATTGAATGGATAAGTCACATAATATCACTTTTTATGTCATCAGTCTACTTACAGAGGAGTCAGAGATGTGCAGGTGGTGGGAACTGAAATTACTTTCTTTTATTTGTATGTATGTGTGCAGATCCTGGGGCTTGAGCTCAGTTCCTAGATGCTATCCTTAAGCTTATTTTGCTCAAGGCTAGCACTCTTACTACTTGAGCCATAGCTCTACTTTTGACTTTTTTGATGGTTAATTGGATCCTCAGATCTCAACCTCCTGTGAGTAGCTAGGGTTACATATGTGAACCACTGGTGCCAAGTCTACATTTATTTTAATAACTGCTGAAGATATGCAGCATAAGGTATCAGGCTCATGCTTCTGGAGTATTTTTATCTCACACAAAGGAATTTGCATTAGAAAGTTGGAAGGGGGTATACAGCAGAAAAATTTTGAAGGTAGATTAGACATGCCAGCACATATAAGTATAACACTGATGACCGACAGATAGTGAATCATTAATAGCTACATGAAATTCAGATCTGGTTCAATGACTTCTGAGACTTTCCTCTATATAGGTAAGAAATTGACCAAGAGAAGTTAAATGTCTTGCTTGAGTTCCTATAGCAAGCAGAGCTGGAATCAGAACACAGGCATTCTGAATTCTAGAATAATTTTTTTTGCCTAAGAAATATAAAGTCCATTCTTTGAAAAATATGACGAATATGGGGCTGGGAAAGTGGCTCAGAGGTAGACTGCTTGACTTGCATGCATGAGGCCCTGGGTTCGATTCCTCAGCACCACATAAGCAAAAAGAAAAAAGCCGGAAGTGGTGCTGTGGCTCAAGTGGTAGAGCGCTAGCCTTGAGCTGAAGAGCTGAGGGACAGCGTCCAGGCCCAGAGTTCAGGCTCCACAACAGGCAAAAAAATAAAAATAAAAATATGACGAATATGTAAAGTTTTGGAGGTGGTACTAAGTAGTTTCTTTTAGGTGTAATCTCTACATCTAAAAGCTACAACCTTAACTATTGATTTTTTTGTAAGTATGACTAGGGTTTTCCCAGGCTCTAGTCTGGTGTCTGATGTGGTGCCCTTGTCATCCTCATACATCTGTTTGCATGGAATTTTGGTGTGTGGTGTTAGCTTCAGAGGAAGAGGGAAGAGGGAGGAGGTTTCATGTTGGGTCTCCTGGAGGTAGAAAAGTGAAGAACTGGGATGATGGATGTCAAGGACAGGATATGAGTTTATGGTGACTGCCCAGTGGAGGAAAAAGGGCAATTCACATTCTTTGTTATCAAATAGCCATCATTAGTGCATACAGAATTGCTTCACTGTATTGGGAGGCCCAGCATGATCATGGATGGGGCCATGAAAGCTTCGATCTGTCTTCAAGTAGCATTCTATACAGAGGCATCAGCAGACAGAAGAAAATCAAGGAGCTGGGCTGGTAGCTCACACCTGTAATGCCAGTTACTCAGGTTGCTGAGAGTGGAAGGGTCATGGTTGGAGGCTAGCCTAGGCAGAAAATTTCACAAGACCAGCCAATAACCAGCAAAACCCAGGTCTGGGCATAGAATTTATTTTGGTAGAGTGACCCGGGATATGTAGGCTTATGAGAATGTCTGCTGCTGAACAAAAGAACAGGCTCAGGAGTTACTTCAGCACCACCTTAAAATAAGCTCAACCCCAAATACCAAGAGAAATCAAGAAAGAAAGCTGTTAAGAAAAAAAAAGAACAGATGCTGGACCCGATGTAGCTTGAATAAATGTGTGGTGTGACCTGCTAGAGATAACTGGGTTAAAAACAATTATGTAATTAAAAACAAGTCTGGAGATGTGGCTTAAGTGGTATAGCACCAGCCTAACATGCACTAAACTCAGTTCAAATACCAGAAAAAAGTGAGGTAGGAGGAGATAAGCAAGAAAATTTATATTAATGAATTACATGAAGAGCTCCAGAAATAACTGATTACATTTGTGATAGGGATATATTTCAGAAATTTAGAATTTAAGGCAAATTATGGGTACCATCACAGGGAAATTTAAGTATGAAGGTAAATGAGACCTGTCTGTTTCTATAAGACTGTGTGGATCTTTATTTAGATTAAGATTTTTTTTTCCTTTTTTGGAGAGAGTGTTTCTTTTGGAACTAGATTTCAGTTTTTTTTTTAAAATTTTTCATTGAGCTTTACTTTCAAAATACTATACTTGGGAGTCTAGTGTATAAAAGTAGAAGAACAGGGATTAAAGCAGGGATTGTGGAGCTGTGGCTCAATTGACAGAGCACCAGCCTTGAGCAAAAGAGCTAAAGAGAAGTGCCCAGGCCCTCAGTTTAAACTCCAGTACCAGTATAAAAAATAAAAACAAAGCAGGGATTGGAGCCCCTGAGCTCACTGTGGACTCTTACTTCACTCTCCCTAGTCAGTGATCACCTAAGAGACTCTGGGATCACTCTGAGGAATTCCAGTGTTGAACCACACTATTTTAGGTAGGTGGTAGATTTAAGCAATGCTGTGAATACCAATACTTTGGTTGCTTTTAGTTTTATTGTGACACAACAAGAAATAAATATTTTCCTGTTTCTGCATTGTTAGGACTTTCTATATGGAGAAATCTGGAATCTGGGCTAAAGGCCAAGTCCTGGAAATTATAAGATGACAAAATAGATAGTTTGAGAATTTCCAGGAGATGTATGTTTTAAAGAGATATAAACCCAGAGCTTTGAAGAAATTTTCAAAATTATAAACCCAGTGAAGCCTATCTATGCCCTGGTGATGTTTGCCTGCACTCTACATGAGTTAAAGAAGCCAGGGATATCTTCTTTTCTTCAAAAGCCTCTGTGCTTACCTTTGGTAGATAAGCCTTCTCTCCCTTTCTTAGGGGAAGGTGGTAGTTGGATAGTTTGTTTCTCACAAAAGCACAGCTTCATAATTCTG